GATATTGTTATTATTTTCCTCTTGGATTTTTACGTCTGATAAATTATGTACATCTAACATATTATTTGTGATCGACAAATCGTTTATGTGTCTCATTTCGTTGTTACAGTTCTTAATATATGTCGTATTGTTTGTTGAATTTTTGCTTTCTTCATTTTGTAAGAACAACTCTTTCTCCTCATGATCATTTTGATTATTTCGATTATTTTGATTATTTTGATTATTTTGATCATTTTGATCATTTTGATTATTTTGATCATTTTGATCATTTTGATCATTTTCACAATTTTTATAATTTTCATCATTTTCACAATTTTCACAATTTTCACAATTTTCACAATTTTGGTCGTTCCCTTTTTTCGTATCGTCATCATATAAATCGTCCCTATTGATTAATTGGTTGTTGAAATTACCTAAAGTTATTTTGTATAAAAAATGCATGACCGTTACCTCCATATTAACTCTTAATCTAAAATCATAATAACAAAGGATAGCATCAAAAAATTGACTAACGAATATTACTGATATGACTAAAAATCCAAACAACATTTTTGAATATTTACATCCAAATGATAAACTTACAGCATTTGAACCACCTTTTATTAACAATACATATTTCTCAATACAAATAGCAACGAATATTAGAAATAAGGTATGTAAAATATGAAAGAAACTAATTAAACCTAAATAATATTTAAATGTTTTCAAAACTGCATATGTAATACCACTACTTTTTAAAAAATACTCTTCCTTTTTTGTTTTATTAAATTTGTTTGTTTGTTTCCTTGTAGAACATCTACAACTTGTATTATCATCATTAGGTTTACTACAACAATTATTCTTATATTTATTATATTTCTTTAATTGAATATTTCGAACATTCCTATTTAGCTTGTTGCTAAAATGTTCTATAGAACTTGTTTCTTCTATACAAGGTAATATAAAATCTTCATTTTTAAGACATCTTAAAAGTTGTGTTATCCAATTAAAGCTTACAAAATTTAACCAAGATATATGATTCATTAAATAGCCATGTTTTCCCTGATCGAAATTGTAAACGCTTCTCCGTTTCATGATAAAAACGGAATCTTTCTAACTTCAGTATATGGTGAATGTTAATTTTTTATGTGTTTCTATATATTATATAAATATAAATAAATATATATATATATATATATATATATATATATATATATATATATATATATATATATACATATTTATATATTTATATATTTATATATATTTTTTTTTTTTTTTCTGGGGGGGAGCTGGAGGTGGTGTATTTCCTTATATGCATTTATTTGTACTATACATATAAAGAAACAACATACAAATATAAATAAATAAATAAATAAGGGAAAAAAAAAAAAAAAAAGAGACTAATTAAATAAATAAATACATAAATATATATACATATTAATATATATATATATACCTATATATTTTTCAAAACTGTTATGTTAATATTTAAAAATAAAAAAAATTATTAAAAATTAAAGCTAATTATATTTAAAAAAAAAAAAAAAAAAATTTTAAACGATGAAAAATATAAATAAATGTAATATATATATATATATATATATATATATATATATATATATAATACGTATTTCATCAATATTTATTATGTTAATCTATCATAGGGAAATATAGAATATTTTATATAATGTATGACAACAGACAAAATTAAAATTCATACATACTTGTTTATATCTACCACCACATATAATAATAATATATAGGGAAATAAAAAAGAAAAACAAGGAAAAAATAAAGGTCTAAATATATATATATATATACATTCAATGTATAAACATATGCTCAATATATAGATAATACTAATCATCATGTTTTATATTCTTAAAGAAAAAAAAAACTACCTTCTAAATACAAAATAAATATTTTTCAAATAATATTATCGATAAACAAATGTAAGAAGATATTTAAGGAATTACTATGCATACATACATACATATATATATATATATATATATATATATATTTATATTTATATTTTATATATATTTATTACTAAAACAAAAAGACATACAATAAATAAACATATATGTGTATCATTAAAAAAGCTAAGTTAAAATAAAATAAAATAATAAGTAAATAAACGCAGCTGATACAACTAAATACATATATTACTTATTTATTTATTTATTATTATTATTATTTTTTTTTGTGGTTATTATTCTTATCATGTATACTATATAACATTTAAATAAAAAGGATTTATATCAACGATCCTTTTTTTTTTTTTTTTACATAAATACATTTTGCATGTAAAATATAAAACACAAATATATATATATATATATATATATATATATATATATAATATATGGTATGCCAAATATAAAAAAAAATATACAAAAAGTGTATTATTTAATTACGCACAAAATAAAATATATATTTAACTCCATATAATAATTACTACATATTTAAACATATATATATATATATATATATATATATATATATATACATATTCTTAACAACACATTTTTTTCTATATAATTACATATTTATTATATATTTTAACTATATCATTACTTTCTACTTATCAATAAACATTTTAAAATATTTTTGTTCTAAGGCACATACCCCTCTTTCTTCATTTTTTTTTTTTTTTTTTTTTTTTTTTTTTTTTTGTAACTACAAATTATTTTTTTTTTATTAAATATTATGCTGAATTATATTATTCACTTTCATTATTATTACTTAAAAAAAAGGAAAAAAAAAAAAAAAAAAAAAAAAATTGGTTCTTTTGTTTTTTTCTATAAAAAGATACGCAAAGAGACTTTATCCATTGTTCTATTTTTTTTTTTTTTTTTTTTATACTTATTTATATAATAATGTTACGATTTAATTCATATTTTGTTATTTTTTTTATTTTATTTTATTTTTTTATTTTTTTTATTTTTTTTTTTTTTTGTTATTTTTGTTATTTTTGTTATTTTTCTTTTTATTATTTTTTAAAAGGATAAAAAAAAAAAAAATAAGGTATCCTTATTATATAATATATTATATATATATTATTAATATATGTTTACATACATATATTATTTATATATAAATATATTTTTTTCAATATCTTTATAAAAATATATAAAAAAAAAAAAAAGTAATATTATAATATTTACATATATATGTATTTTATTATATATATATATATATATTGTAGCATATAAGTAAAATATAATATTATATATATATAAATAATAATATCATAATATACATAATAAAAATAGATCATCCCATATATTTTATATTTTACATATTTTTTTTTTTATATAATAAATAAGAGTATATTAGATGGACCCTTTATCCTCCCTTTTTTTTTTTACATTCTATACAAAATATATTATGTATACAAATATAAATATATATATATTATATATATATATATTTAGAACTTTATATATTATATTTGAATGATATATAATATATATATATATATAAATATGACATCATGCATAAAAAGAATTTATTCTTTTCAAAATTATAAAAAATTAAATTATGTAGTAATAATTTTTAAAATACTAAAATTAAATAAATAAAAAATATTTATATCTATATAAATAATATATAAATATATATATATTTAATATTTATATTTTTTTTTTTTTTTTTTTTTTTTTTACAAGAATATTTTAATAAACCAAATAAGAAGGAATGTCATACTAACTATATGATATAATAATGTATTTTATATTTTTGTTCTTTTTATTTATATTATTATTATTAGAATATATTTAAAATAAATAAAAAGAAGAAATATATATATATATATATATATATATATATATATATATGTATGTATGTATAAATATATATATTTGCATTTATGCACTTAATAAATAAACATATATATCTTATATATATTTTATATTATGGGGAATAATAAATATAATAATATATATATATTATAATATTTTTTGAAAGAAGAAATAAGCCTAATCCACATATATTATTTTTTTCTTTTCTTTAAAAAAACGTAAAATGTTATATAATAAAATAGATTTTACAAATTTATATTCATAAAGCAAATATTCTTTTTTTTTTTTAATATATATATATTATGTATTATTTTATATATATTATTTTCTTTAATAATAATATAATATTATATATATATATAATAAAATATAATTTATATAATAAAAATAACTTATATAAATTTTATTTGTCCATGTATAATTGTTTTATTTATTTTATATATCTTTAAACACATTCCTTCTTACTTTATTATAATATTATCATCTCTTATTATATATATATATATATATATATAAAGAAAGAAACCTATACAAACATGCAATCCACATATTGGTTAAAAAAAAAATAATAATAATAAAATAAAATAAATAAATCATTAAAATATATTATATATATAATATTCCCTTATTGTATTATATATATACATATCTTTTTATATACTTTCTATTATTTAATAAATATATAATTATATATTCATTTTAACATTTATAAGAAAAACAAGAAAAGGTACAACATTTTGATTTTATTTCTTTTTATGGAATGTAATAATTTATTATCCTACAAATGTCTACATCACAAAAAAAAAATATATATGTACTTATAATAAAATGTAAATGAAAAGATATAACATATTATATATATATATATATATATATATATATTTATATGTATTTATATTTATATATTTGTTCCATATATTATTATTTCAATAACATAATAATAATTTCTTTTTTTTTCTTTTTCTTTTTTTCAAAAAAAAATTATGAACAAGTCAGGTAAAAAAAAATTTTAAAAAAGTAACTAACATCAAAGAAGAAAATAAATAAGGATTTATTATTAAATAAATTGTTATAATATAAGAATATTATGAAACGAGTAGAGATACAGTTTGATAATTAGATTCTTTAACGTTTTATTATTTAAAATATAGGAACATATATATATATATATATATATATATGTGTATTTTACTTTTTTGTATTTTTTGTTTGTTCATATTTGATATTTTATATAAAAGTATATATTATTGGCATATGGTTAAGTTTAACTTTTTTTTGTTCATTAAAAAAAGTTAAATTTAAAAGTTGAATATAAAGAAGGTTTAATATGGACATATACATATATACTTGTATTCTCTAGTTAATATATTTTATTATTTACTATTAATATAAGAAATTCTTGACATATGAGAATAAATCATTGTCTCATATTAAATTAATAAAAAATATGGATCACGTGATATTTGTTATTTCGTTGTTTCAAATTTTAAGGTAATGTATATAATAAATGTACACAAAATATGTACAATTATATATATATATATATATATATATATATATATATATATAATATATTTTATATAAATAGAAATATTGTGCATAATGTATTCATATATTTCTTGAAAAATATTTATACCTTCATTTTTTTTTTAACATTCAATGGGAAAATATGATAATTGTAAAAATATACAGATGATGTTCTGTCAAACGATATAGTAGGCATATCACATATAAATTATCATGTATGTCATATAAATTGTTATGTATGAAATATTAAATATATTGTATATAAATATATAGCCTTTAAAATATATACATTTTGTAACATATAAATAATACACATATTACATATATAGAATTTTATTTAAAAAAATAATTTCCATATCTCAATATTTTTTTTTACACACAAAGTAATATGCACTTCAAATGAGATGTATAATATGTATAATAACATATTTTATTTATGTACATTTTTTTTAATATATTTTAACAAAATGTAAAAATAATATAACTAACAAAAAAAAAAAAAAAAAAAAAAAAAAAAAAAAAAATTGTAGTATGGTAATAATATACATTATTTCACATATTTATGATACTATAAATTATTATTTATTTTTTTTTTTTTTTTTTGTGTTATATTGTAAAATGGGAACTGCATATGCATGTAATTTTTATGTATATATATATATAATATTTTTCTTTATTTTTTATATGTGTATTATTTTATATCATATTATATTTTACCACGTTTACACGTAACGCATGTTAATTTTTTTTTGTCAGCGCATCGGATATATGATATCTAAAAAGAAGAAATAAAATATGAAAAGTTTAAAATATATAAAAAAATAAATATCTTTTTGTTATTTTGTTATTTTGTTATTTTATTATTTTATTATTTTCTTACTTTTTTTTTTTTTTTTTTTTTATTATTCTATTAAGAAGAAAAAAATGACATATATAAATATATAAATACATATATATATATATACATACATTTAAATATGCATATTTCCCAATTTCATCTTAATAATACATAAAAAAAAATATATATATATATATATCCTACCTTCTATTTTAATTTTTTTTTTTTTTTTTTTTATCATAATGAAGTTGAAATATCATTTATTTTTTCTTATAATTTTTATACAAGACATATTATGTTTTAAGTATGAAGATTATATACAGTCTTTACCAGAAGCTTTTCATTTGGAAAATGGTGATAGTAAAAAGGATGCGATAATGAAAGAAAAGAACAAAGAAGAAAATGATAATAATGATAATAATGATAATAGTGATAATAGTGATAATAATAATAATAACAATAATAATAATAATAATAATAATAATAATAATAACAATAATAATAATAAAAGTAATAGTAATTATAAGGTTGGTATGAAAGATATTGTAAATAACATTTTAAACAAAATAAGCGATAGCAATAAAAATAAGAATTATAATTCTTATGATAAATATGATTGTAATGATGATGATAACAATACTTCTAATAGTTTATTTCATAAAATGATGTGTGCTTTTAAAAAGAAGTTATTTAAAAATGAGCAAGTCATAGAAAAAGATATCAGAAATCTAAAGAAAAGTGTGATAGATTTAAAAGAGAATGTTGTTAAAGATGGTTCTAATATTAGTAAACATACTAATATATTAAAAGATGATATTACAAAGAATACAAATTATCTTTTCAATTTATTTAAGAAATCACTTAATGAAGAAGCAGAAAATGATAATAAATTTAGTTCAGATAATTTAAATAAATTAAAAAATTTACCAGAAAGCCATTTATTTTTTTCAAAACTATTATTAACACTATCTCAAAATGATGATAAAGAAAAAAACAAAATAACAAATATAAACAATATAAACAATTATTATAATAATAAAATGAATGATATAACAGAAAATAATACAAATCTTTTACAAAACTTTCTTTCCTTCATAAAAAATTTTAAACACAACGATAAATATAATAATAATAATAATATTAAAAAAGAAAACGATTTGTTTCATTCATTTTATTTACATAATGAAAATGATAAACATAACAACATTCAAAATAAAATATATTCATGGTGGTTTACAAATAAGAATGATGAAAAAAAAAATGTAGACAATCATCTTAACCTTTTATATAAAAATTCAAATAATTCATTTAATTCAACATTAAATCAAAATAAAACAGATCATGAGAATTTACCTGAACAAGTCAGGCAAAAAAACTCACAAGAAGAAAATAATAAATGGTTTGATATTTTTTGGAATTATTTCCATAAAAATGAAGAAAAGATAGAAAATGAAATGAATGAAAAAGAAGAAATTAACGATAATAATAAAAATAGCGTTAATGTTGATGATCATAATTTTAATGGTTTACACAACCTCGACGGTAAAAAAAATAAATTTCCCTTTTTGAATTATTGGAATGATAAGGATATACCAAAGGGAGATCCTGTTGGTGAGCATTCACAGGATAACAACAATAGCAAAACGGATGATCAAAAGAATGATGAAAATAAAAAATTTAATATTTTTATGTATTTTAGAAAGAATAACAAATATGACAAAGAGACAAATAAAAATAAAAGGGAAATGAAAATGACTGATGATAACAAGATGGGTGATGATGCGAGTGATGGTTTTATGAGCGATGATACAAGTATCGATTTGATGAGCGATGATATAAGTGTTGGTGTGAGTGATAAATTGAGCAATAATGCAAATAACAACGATATGAATAAGTTAGATGATGACCCTAAAGGATTTGTTTTAAATTTAATAAAGAATTATTACGACAATAATAAAAATGTAGATAATATAAATTATTCCTTCTTATTAACGTCTGACAAAGAAACAAATGAAAATATTAATTATCATCCCTTGATAAAATTTAAGAGCTGCCTAATGAATTGTTTTAAAGAAATTAATAATACAGAGAAAAGTGTTGAGAATGAAAGTTATTTATCACTTGACGATTATAAAATTTTAGAAAAATGTATATCAACATGTAAAAATAATAATTTGAATGACACACATAGTGAGGATCCTATGAATAAGGATGATACTATCTTATACATAGAAAAAAATAAAATCAATGATACTCATAAGAATAACCTTTTAAATGATAATATAAATAATCTTATAAATGATAATAATCAATCTACAGAAAAAGAGATTTCATCAAAGTGGTCCAATTTTTTTTATAAAAAAAATAACAAGAAGAATATAAAAGATAGTTATGAAGAAAATAAAAATAGTAATAACCCCCAAGATAATATTTCTGTACTTACATCTAATGAAACCAATTTAGAAAATTTAAATATATTAAATGATAACCTAAGTACACATCTTATGTATGATAAAGATAATAATAATAGTAATTATCATAATTATAAAATGAAAAACTTTTTAATAGATTCAAAGTTTAAATATAGTAATAAAGAAAAGAAGAAGAATTTTATACAAGATGAACAACAGGATAAGAATAAAAACTTATATAACAAACCATTACAGTTTTTTAATTATTTTAACAATTCAAATATAAATACAGATGATAATAATATATATAAGGATAATTTAACAAAACATAATTTTGCGAACGATAATTTATCAAATAATGATGATAAATATAATACTTTGAAAAATATAAATAATAATAATAATATTATATTAAATAGAAATGATATAGATAATGATGAAAATAATAATTATATATCAACCGGTTTTTTCTTATTCTTATTATTAATAACATTCTTTGTATACTTATCAGCATTCACAAATATAATTAATCAATTCTATTTATCATTTAAAGAAAAAATTTGTTTATTTATTAAAGGAAAATATAAAAGTACCTTTGACAATGTATACGAAGAATCTTGTGAATCATTTTTACCAAGGGTTCAATATAAAAACACTCACAATAATAATAATAATGATAATAATAATTTCTGTCAAACATATGAAAATATATATCATTCCTTTCAAGAGAATTCTTTTGACATGGCATAGTAAATTATAACAACAAAATAAAATTAAAAATAAAAATAAAAATATACACATATATATATATATATATATATATATATCATCATATTTTCTTATTGTAGCTATTTTCTTTTCTTTTTTTTTTGTCATTTTTAAATATTTATCAAATTTTATAAAGGTTCATAGTGCATATGTACATATATATATATATATATATATATAATATTATACTTTTGTTTCATGTTTTATGATTTTTTTTTCTTTTTTAAATTATATTTTTATATATGTATTCTCATATATATATATATTATATTTTTAATGTAGTTAAAAATCATAAGAATCTTTTAAAATTTATCTTATGGTTGTAATATTATTTATGTAAAAAATAATGCTACATATAAAAATATATATATATATATATTAATATATAAATATTTTTTTTTTTTTTTTTTTTGCGAAATATTTCTATGAAAGGTCTTTCGCTTACAATATAGTATGTAGTATTTTTCATACATAATAATATAATATATATAATATATATATAATATTTATGTGCTATATTTATTTTTATCATTTTTATATGGTTCAATTAAAGTAGTATCCTTTCCTCTATTTTTTTTTTTTTTTATTTCATAAAACATTAAAAAATAATATTTATTATTGATAATAATGTTCATTCGTATAATAAATAATAATATATATTATATAAA